GTATATCGCGATGTGGAACTCCTGCAACTCCGGCGCGGGGTAACTCAGCAGCCAGGCGAGGGCGGAGCTGGGAAGAAACGGGCCAAGATGCAGTTCGCGGAGACGGCGCATATGGGGACCGAGCAGCGTGAGGTGCAGCTCGGACGCGCCGGCAGCCAACGTCACAGAGAGAGGGACCGTGTTGCTGCGCCACAGGTACATGTTGAACTCCGAGGCCGGCATTCGATGCGCACATTTAATGGTGCACCATAGACGCGGTGCGGCGAGTGCAACGCGCCGCCACGTCCAGCAAACGCGCATTGCGCTGTGCAGGTCATTAAAACCGGGTCGTCCAGGATTCAGATTGTCCATAATTTGCACGACTAATTCTGTCGGCAGCGAGCTGATAGAGCGTTGTGGAACCGAGGCTGTGGCATTCGTAGAAGCTGCGCGTCGTGGCCAGGGGAAGAAGTCGCACATGCAGCACACTAGGTCTACGAAAAGAACAGCGACGATGGTGCAGACGGTACAGCGGTCGAAAAGGCTCCAGATCCAGAGGGTCGTACGTTGCATGCACTCAATCAGCGCCGTCACAGCGGTCTCGGACGAGGGTGACTGCCCGCCAGCGTTCAAGACCGTGGCGAACCCAAGGCTTGGATATGGACAGTAGTCGAGCATTGTCGTTCCGCTTTCGTGGTCGCTAATGGTCGTTTTCTTGGAGTAGCTCGGCCTTGGGCGTAGCAAGCCGATGGTCTGAAGAAAAGGCCCGGCACGGAGACGGCGGTGATAACGGCACTACGTCCGTTTGGCATACGAAAAGCTCGGAGCAACCTCAAGTGTCATGGTAATGGTGCCACGTCAAGGCTGGGCTGATGCTATGAAATCCCACACATGTGCAGTGGATTCAGGCGACGCGTACGTTTCAGGCGAAACGGAAGGAGGTTCCGCGTGCAGAGGATGCATTCTCTATGAATGAACACTTGTAGTTCACCCAGCTTACTACACAGCCGGGACATACACGCATCCACTGATAGTACCCGCATCCGCAATCAACACCGTCTTCTTTCCGCTGTTCAGGTCTACGGCGTATACTCCACCAAGCAGGTCCGTCACGAACGCTCTCCCGTTCGACAAGTCCAAGCTCAGGCCGATAGTTTCGTGGAACTTGTTGGTGAGGATGTAACTCTTTGCGGGGCCTTGCGTAGCGATCGAGTCGGAGCCCACGAACACGCGGTTGAACGTGTTGCCGAGGGGCACGTCGCCGCGGTCTGTCCAGTAGAGTGTCTGCGACTCCTCATCGAGCTCGAGATCGATCGGCTCTGGGAGGTGCTCAAAGAGAGTCTCGATGTCCGTGCGCGTGCTCGGAGTCTCGCCTACTGGGATCTCTATGTTGGCGCGGAAGATACGACCTTGCCAGCCTTTCGACGGTCCCTGAGATGTACATGACACATTGAGCCAGAGTGAGACTCGGATGTAATAAATCTTGGCTCTGACGTACCTTTTGCGTCCAATATATGAGACCACGCGTCGTAGCCACTGCAATGCCGACGCACCAGCGGGTCGTATCCTTACGGTCATCCGCGCCGCTCCCGGTCTGGACGAGCGTCTCCACGGCGCTTCCGTCGAGGTTGGAGCGCATGACACGCATGCCCTCGCGGTCCGACCAGTAGAGCTTGCCACCCTTGGTGTCGAGCTGCACCTGCTTCGGCGTGAATGTCACACCGGGAGGGACGATCGTCTTGACGTCGACAAGTTCCAGTGCGCCAGAAGCGTTCATAGCAACGCGGCCGGACATGAGGGAACCATTGTCGAGCGCGGGGTCAGTACCCATGTTCGTCCAGTAAAGAGTGTCGCCGTGAGCTTGAATGCCGTCTGGAAGAGTGTGGAAGTCGTGGTCGTAGATTGTCTGCACGTCGCTACCATCTGTGCTGCACACAAAGATGCGACACTGGCCCAGGTCGTCGCCGATGTCGAGGACTACGAGCTTCTGAGCGAGGAGGGAGGTGTTGGAGATTTCTGAGAGAACAGTGTCCGCTATTGTCGCGATTATGGTAAGTGCGAGCAGGAGCCTCTGCACGAGATACATGTTGGAGGAGGGTGAGAGGACAGCGTCTGCGAATTTCGTATATTTAGAGCGAAGGAATCTTTGACATGGGCGTCTAATGGGAGCCATGCGCAGCCGCCTGCACATCTGAATTCCGTCAGCACTGCGCTTGAGAAATGTCGGAGACACCGAATGGTGGAAAGCCAGGTCTCCTGGCAACGCTGAGTGTTGCGATGCATGACTGGAGGCGCAGCACGAGTAGGCGATGTTGCTGACTAAGCATGCGTCCAAGCATGCGTCATGTTTCTCGCCGTGATCCGAAAAAAGGTCGTCTTCTCCGCCCCTTCCAATGCGCCAAACTGGACTCTATTCGCAAACTCCCACGATTAGATGTAGGTTCCCAAGCTCATGGATTTCTGTAGACCGTACATCGCCCTAGTATTGTGAGACCGCTAGGGCGATGCGAGAATCCTTTGAAAAATCGGAGGAGCAGGCACCCAAAAGGTCTTTAAACGCTCGGACTCTCATTAATCTTTCCCTTGAAACGACGGACTTGCATGCATCGCTTCGTGCGAGTCCATTCCCGGCTGCGGCGCAGCGGGAAGCCGAAGCTGCGACTTGGATCCATTCAGTTCTCTCCTTCTGGTCCTCCCCTGAGCCGAGCGCGCGGACAGGGCCATATATATAACGTACGTTTTTTTTTCTTCGTTGACCCGAGTCCTTCTGAATATTCTTCATCGTTGCAGACATGGCGGCAGGGCTCACTTTACTCTCACTCTCACTCTCGCTTATATTCTCATCTGCGCTTGCGGCGGCTCCGTACTGCTTGCCTGGCGACTCGTGCTTCCCCAGTGCCAAAGAGCTGTCGTCGTTCAATACGACAGTTGGCGGTCGCCTCGTCAAGTCCGTTCCTTACGGTGCCGTCTGTTATGCAGGGGCGACGTATGACGCTGAAAAGTGCGCGACTCTCGTGGCGAACTTCGTCACCGACGAGTTCCGGCTGGAGATTTCTGACGCTCTGATGTATACGTGAGTTTTATGCTCTGCTTTGCGTCTGCCCCAATGCTCCGAGTCTGACGGTGACGTTTTCTGAATTTACTCTGCAGCAATTGGGAAGTCACCGAGGACGGAACGGGATGTCCTGTGCCGCAGGATATCACCTTGACGCCTGTCAACGGGACGTGCTCCTATGGTAATCTCGCATCGTACATCGTCGAGGTCGCTTCGACGCAGGATATCGTCAACTCTGTCAAGTTTGTCGCGAAGCATAACCTCCGCTTCCGGATCAAGAACGTACGCACTACCCCGCATCTCAGCTTTGTGCATGTACTCACTCTCGTGCACTACTAGACTGGGCATGACTACGCTGGCCGATCGAGCGGTGCAGGGTCTTTCACGATCCGGACGCACCATCTTCAAGGCACCTCCTTCATTCCAGCCTTCGTCCCTGACGGCTGCAAAGCAACTCCCGAGCCTGCGCTCATGGCTGAGGCTGGTGTCAGCGTACACGGTCTCTACGCAGCTGCGGATGGGTTCAACCGCACGACGATCGGAGGGATAGGTCGCACGTAAGTTCGACTTGAGCCCTTTCTGCACACTTCCGGATCGTCTAACACATCTCATTGGCAGTGTCGGAGCCCTCGGTGGCTACATTCTGGGAGGAGGCACGGGCATCTTCTCTCACCGGAACGGACTCGGCGTGGACAGTACGTCAATGCTCGGAGGTGGTGCCGCCGCATACTGATATTGTACTCGCAACAGACGTCTTACAGTTCGAAGTTGTCACCGCGGATGGCAAGCTCCGCACCGTCAACCGGTGCCAGAACAGCGACCTATTCTGGGCCCTCCGAGGTGGCGGCGGTACATTCGGTGTCACGACCCGCGCGTGGCTGAAGTCGCATCCTCCGCTCAAGGCAACGAACGCTGTGACCGGCACGTTGGTGTCTAACAGCACGGAGACTTGGGACAGCGTGGTTCGCACATTCGTTGACCAGTTGCCGGCGTTGTTCGAAAAGGGCATTACGGGCGAGTGGATAGCGTCATACCCATATCTCGTATGCGCTCCCTATAATCCTCAGTTCATGCTTACTCATGCACTACTCCAAGGGCATCATTTTCCAGCAACATTTCGAGCTGGACGAGACGCCCGTTTCAGCCGCAGACTTCCTCTCTACTTTCGACACGCTTACCTCCATCCCGGGAGTGACCAACGCTCTCAACGCTGAGCAATTCCCCACTTGGCTGGAGACGTACGAGAAAGCAGTGACTCCCATCATCCAAGCCACTGGCCCTCGCGTGGGCATAAATACTCTCCTGGCTTCTCGTATCGTGCCAGACACGCTCCTCCAAAACGCGGATGGCCGTCGCAAGTTTGTCGACTACCTCCTCGGCTTCCCGGCGGGTACGGCTCTCATCTACCAGATGCTCGACGGCGGCGCGGTGAACGTACCCAACACGACCGATACGGCCGTTCACCCGGCTTGGCGCTCGTCCGCTGGACTCATAGACGTCGGTGTGGGCGCATCAACGCCTATCGTTACAGCTGCGCAGACTGCTCTCATAGCGGACATCCGCGCACGCTCGGACGCCGTTTTCGGTACCGCGGTGTACTACAACGAGAACGCGCCCACCGACAACTGGCAAGAGGTGCAGTGGGGTGCTAACTACGCTCGCTTGCTGTCCATCAAGAAAGCCTACGACCCGAAAGGTGTTCTGTCCTGCCGTGCTTGCGTCGGGAGCGAGGTATTTGGCTATTGATTCTTCTTTAATACGCTTTTAATTCTCCTTGACGTGTCAGCGGTGTAGCCGTACTACCTACGCATATACACCATTGCCCATGGCCTCATGTCAACGATGATGCGACCGCTTGTGGCGTTACATAAGGATTGATTATGAAAACTGAAAGACGACTATCAAGCTAGATATATGGGGCCATAACCGCTTTCCCAGCAAAGAAACTGGACTGAGCAAAAGTTAGTGCGTTAAAGGGGAATCGAACCCCTGGCTGATCGAGTCAGCTGGATGGCAACGATCAAGGTTACCACTACCCCATTAACGCTTGTGAACAGGAGGTCATCTTTGATTCATAGCCTACAGGTATCCTGTAGCGGAAGTGGTATGGGAACGGGATACGCAACAGGATGAGTACTAGTAGCACTCTTAACCCTCAAAGCACGTGGCACACATCAATGCCTGTCTGCTATCTCTGCACTGTGACAAGATGAAGGATGGAATCTGGACCCCAAAGCACGAAGTGAACGCGCCCGCACGCCGTATACCCCTTCAAGTTCACCCACCTGACGCAGCACTGCGCATCCGGGCCGTCTGCTGCTCCCTTGCGATCATGTCACTTCAACTGTATGGCCGTCATATTGAAAGAAATGCCAGCAAGCTGCCAGGCGCTTTGGGGTTGCACTCTCACACTTAAAGGAACCGCATGGCGCACGAAGGGCTGCGTGCGCCATCGCGCATTGGCTCATTCGCACTCCTCTCGTTGCAGTCCAAACGAAGAGTCCCGCAAGTCTCTACGAGCCCGACCCTGTAAAGTACCACCCAAAGAAGCTTGGGATCGGGCTGTCTGAGCCAGTGTTCCGCGGCATACGGACGACGAGGACGACTCGGCAAGGCGGCAACGACACGACCCGACAACAAGCTTGACAGGATTTCTTTTTGACTCTGAAGTGGTTATACTGATGACCACTCTGGCACGATACCTGTCCCCATTTTCCGAAACACTTTCCCAGTTCAATGAACATCAACTCTTCAGTCCATTGACATTTCTACTCATACATTGTACAGTTATTGCTGGTACTTGTACAGCGTCATCAAGAGCATATGCCATCATCGCCGCCCTTATCCGCCATGGCGCCTCACACTCCAGACAAGCCACTTCATGGAGACAACAGCATTCTCGCCGACATCGCTCGCAGTTCCTCGCCGACGAACTCCTTCTCCAAGGTAGCCGTCGATACTCTTGAGCTCAGCGGACACCTCCAGATCTGACTCCCCGCATGAAGCCCACATCTCGCGCCAACTCTGCTCATTGTGCAGGTGCGGAAGCTGCCCAAGACGCTGCCCTGCGATATCCGAGCCGATATTGGAGCCGAATATTATAGATCCAGGCTCCCGAGCAAGTAAAGTGATGATACGAGAGGCCGCCTCGCGTTGCTTGTCGAGGGGAAAGAGGTGGAAGAAAGCCGCAACATGAATGGCACTGAAAGCGCCGTGCAGCGACTTCGGATTGACGAGTCTGCCTTCCGGGGGCGGGGACGGTGGTGCAGAGGAAGACAAGAACGCGTCGGAGAACAGGTCGCCTGGAATGAACTGGATCGGGCATGACTGTGGCGTAGAGCGGAATAGTCTGTGCCCTACGTCCCAGAACTCTGAGGAAGATGTGTTTAGCGCCCAGCCGATATAACGACAAGACGCTTACCAGGGTGGAGATCGGATGCCACTATACGCTCAGCTGGCCAGCCGTCCGCAGCCGCCTTGCGCGCGTCATTCCCCACTGGACTCGTTGAGACACTGGGGAGTGAAGAGGATGGTCGATGACGAACCGCAACATGCAAGATCAAGTAGCAGCGCCGTGGGGTTATTGCGGCCCATATCCATGACCTCATCATATGAAGGGTGACGAGATATCTTCAACCTGCGGAATAGAGTTAACGACGTGCAGAGTTAATGTAGGAGACACGATGCATGCCTCGTGAAGCCGAAGCGGCGAATGCATGGGTACGGCGCGACCTTTTCTTTCGTGAGCGGCTTGCAAATGCGGTTGGATGCGAAACTACCTGATACGCTTCCTCTTGGTTCTTGATTATATGCTGCCTGAGCACCTCTTCGTCTTCTATCCCCGTCTGTGCCTTGAAGAATGCCGTTTCGTCGGGACGCAGTGCTAACAGCGACGGGTCGAGCGGGACATCCGCCCAGGACTTGGTCGCAGTCAGCTCTGACACGAGGGACATTTGAGCTTGCTTCTGAATCTGTGAGTATGGAGTAACACCTGGCCAAAGTCGGCAGACTGACGAGTACGGATACAAGAACGGTGGTCTGCTTCGGAGTCCGACTCACCTTCTTTGTCCCCGACATCATATGTCTTCCGTTGTCCAGACCCATCGACTGGCGCGTATTCGTGCTAACCGCGAAGACATAATGGTGATAGACGACCGTATTACTCGTCTCGATTAGAGCAGGAATGAATTGGAGAGACTGCATAAACATTCCGCGTCATGATCGTGTCTTCCTGTGACTCCAAAGTTTACTCCAATACAATACAACACACTCGTTCAATACATGATATTACGCAGAGCTCGCAATTCCAGCGGCACCGAGCCCGGTCACATCGTCGACATATTGCATATAGCGGAAGACGTGCCCGAACTTGGCGAGCTCCTCCTTGAGAAGATTCTGGTAGCCTTCTTGGCTGACGAGCGAGCCGCCGAGGCAAAGGATGGAGGACGACGCCAAGACAGCGTTTGCTGCAGGGCTGGCGTCGTTCTCCGTCTTCAACATGGCAGAGATCTGGCGTGCGAGTGCCCCCGCACTGCTCTGTAGAACGGTCAGAGCGAGCTCGTCCTTTTCGACGAAAGCACATTCGAACACGACGGGCGCGAGACCTGCCATACGATGCTTGCGCTCCTTGTCGAGGATGGGCTTTGCGGCGGGCGTCGCGCCGATGCCGGGGATGGGATCGGCCGCGTATATGACGCTGAAGACGTCGTACGGGTTCTCGATCTCGAAGATCTCGAAGACCTTGTCGCGCAGAGTCGACGGCGCGGCAGGTTCACCGGTGAGAGCTGCTCTATCCGCACGCGTAAGAATCTCGCGAACTGCTTCGCGGCCAACATAGAAGCCCGAGCCCTCGTCCCCAAGCAGCCAGCCCCATCCACCGACGCGACCAAGTTCCTGCAGCGATCCATCCTCCTGCAACTTGAACGATACAGCGATGGACCCAGTGCCGGCGATAGCGACGACGGCCGTAGAGACATCCGAGTGCAGGCGTAATGGGGATGCGAGCAGGTGGGTGTCGTTGGCGACCAACAGCCTGGGCGCCGATGGCGGCAGGGCGAGCAGCGGAGCGAGGGCGCCGGTCAGCGCCGCCACGGCCGCGGGCGAGTCGACTCCAGATACTCCAATCCAGGCGGCTTGGAGCACGCCGCTGTTCAGCGGAAGCTCCGGAGCGTCGCCACTACCCAGGGCAGCCTTGTATGCGTTCGCCACGGCGTCCGAGAACGACTGGACGAACTTGGCCAGGCCGACGTCGGTATAGTTAGACGGGCCACCCAGCCCGCGGCCGACGACGGTGCCGTCCTTGGTCGCTATGGCTGCAGCGGTCTTGGATCCGCCGCAGTCGACGCAGAGGTACATAGACGGCGAGTCGCTCATTGTGGATGCAGGAGCCAAGCGCGATAACGCTGTAGCCCCGCATCGATGTGGCTCGGCACCGCTGCTGCGGCAAGGGGTTCGAAGTCAAGAGCTCAAATCGTGCACGCGACGGGGGCGGCCACATGGACGTTGCATGTGGTCCGCGGACTTCGGAAGAAGTGGCAAAAGTCAAATTTTCAAGTTCGAGGTCCGCGCGTCAAACTTGGTCACGGTCTCTCACGTCCTCGCAGCTATGTCTGCAGCTCTTCAGGCCGCCCGCCTCGACCGCATGCGCATGGAGCGGGACGACATCGCTCGCTTGGACGCGCGTATTGCACACGCCCAGCGCACGCGTGCCGACGCACAAGCTGCGCTCACCGCTGCTCAACAGGCTCTCGAGGAAATCGACGCCGAGCTTGGGGGCCTCTCCGTTCAGCGTAGTCTCGCAGCAGAACGGTTGCACAACGTTGCACGAGTCCGTCTCCGCGATGTCGTGGCGACAATTCCCCACGACGTTCTGCAGTGCATTTTCGATGCGCGTGTCTTTTCCGAACAGCCAGATACCACGACGACTATCAGGAGCCTCATGCGCATTCCTTTCGAGGTGTCAAGGATATGTAAACGATGGCGTGAAGCCGCTCTTGCTATGCCAAATTTGTGGTCGCACCTCTACGTCTGCGAACTGCGTCCGCATACGCTGCAACTGGCTGGGCTTGTGCTTGAACGCTCAAAGGGCGCACCGCTCAACATACACCTTACTCATAACCAAGGCGATCAACACTTCGGTGAACTACTTAAAATCCTGTCGGGGCATATTAGTCGCTGGCGCAGCCTGGTCATCATATCGCAATGCGAGGCGGACTGGTCTTTATTTAAGCATCCGACGCCTGCACTTGAGAAACTCGTTCTCAGTCACGCCGGGGACCAGGGCCGAGAGCCTACCGACATCCTGCCGTTCGCACCTCGCCTGACGACCTTCAGCGTTCACGGCATTGCCGCATTCTCCTTGCAAGAGGAAACCGTGTTACCCTGCCTAAATGAACTTGTCTGGTCCCCACTTCATACAACCATGGAGACAGCTTGGATCATCCTACGCCGCGCGGCTGCGACACTAACGCGGGTTGTTCTGGCGCCGCAACAAGCTCGCCGCTCTCCTACGGCGACCACGGTTGCCGCCGCTACATCAATGCTCCACTTCCCTCGGATCCGCGAACTGACGCTCGTCAATCGATTTCCTAATATGACCGAGGCACTCGCATCGTTCGCTCTCCCAAGATTGACGACTCTCGTCCTTATGAAGAACGTCCTAGTCCCCGATATCGTACAATTCCTTGATTCGGTCTCTGGTACTGTGAACTGCATCGACCTATTCCTGCACCTCGGTGCAGACGAGAGCGCAATTTTGCGCATCCTCCGCAACGTTACTGAAGTTGGATTTGGCCGTGCCTCCATCTTCTTGCGAGGCGGCGGATATCGGGTCAATGACGCGTTCTTCTCACGGTTGTGCGAAAGCGATGCCCTTGGGTCTTACTCCTGGCCGAAGTTGACCTCGCTCGTCTTCGATCAGTGCGGAGAGTTCGATGCCAGCGATGGACCTGGTGGCGCGGACCTGCTGCGGTTTATACGATCTCGAACGGCGCCCAATCTCAGCGACGAATCAACACCGCGCCGTCTGCAACGCGTAGTGCTCGGTGC